AGAGCCCAGGTAGTTTGACAGGTGGGGATAGCCTCGACCAAGCCGGGATGTCTCCATGTCGGTTTTGCGACAGCTGAGGCATAGCGAAAGAGCAAAGGTTACTGGATTGCCCAAAGAATCCCAACACCTGACACCCAAAGTCTTGAAACAAAATAGACATCAAAGGTAGGAAATGGCAAACAAATCGCCAAAGACAAGGATGCGACCAGCAAATCAAAGAGCTTTGCAAGGTGTTGCTTGGTGATGTCTCAGGCAGAAAGTGCTGGCGAAGCGCGCGGCTGAGAAGAAGGAGCGCTTGGAGGAACAGGCGGGGGATGAAAGAATCGCACCACCTCCGCGGAACCAGGGTGTAGGGTGTTTCAGGGTACCCCTCGTTTGGGTGGATTTAAAGGGGCACCAACTTGGAGGTCCCTATGTTTAAGGCACACACACACAAGCACAGGTTGTCATGCAAAATAATTACTGGACAAAATCCACTTCGCAACAGCTGGGCCCAACTGGTGCAGTTTGTCGCAGTTTGTCTGTCCACAGTCTGGCAACGTGAATTATCAGTTCAAGTGCACTTCTGCAGGTTCATCTGCATGTGCTGACTTTGCATGTAATCATCAATGGGCATTTCATGCCCAAGCCGGCCAATTGAGCCAAGACTTTCTTTCGCAGCAAGAAACAGGCGCCATGTTCTGCTGATAAGCAGCACGCCTTCTGACGTGGTGGTAGCGGAGCACCCGCGCCATGGACTTTGACTTCAGCGTCGACCCCCTGCAATCACATGGCTTTGAGACGGCGAAGAGACGGAGGGCAACGTCCTTGAGATGTCAGCCGCTGCGGACGGAGACACACCCTGGTTACGCAGGAGCGGCAGGTGCCCAGACTGGGTCAGGAACGCTGATGGCTGGAGACGCTCAAAATGCGGTGACGCTCAGGTGCCTGCCAAGTGGAGATCCCACAGCCTTGAGAGCCTTTTCCTCAACTAAGCCGGCAACAACGTTGAGCTGCACAAAATGCGAAACCGCATAGGCGCCGAGAAAACACAAGAAGCTTGACCTGTCCGACGCAGCCAGACCTTTTAAGATCTGCTCCAGCCAAAGGGAGATGACCCTCACCGACCTGACCGCGGCGAGATGACACGCTGAAGGGCCTGAACGGTTAGGAAACGATTTCGAGCAATTCCAATCCTGGTTAGGAAACGAATTCGAGCAATTCCAATGCCTGGTTAGGAAACGAATTCGAGCAATTCCAATGCCTGGTTAGGAAACGATTTCGAGCAAGTCCAATCCTGGTCAGGAAACGATTTCGAGCAATTCCAATCCTGGTTAGGAAACGAATTCGAGCAATTCCAATCCTGGTTAGGAAACGATTTCGAGCAAGTCCAATCCTGGTTGGGAAACGGTTTCGAGCAATTCCAATCCTGGTTAGGAAACGATTTCGAGCAATTCCAATCCTGGTTAGGAAACGATTTCGAGCAATTCCAATCCTGGTTACAAAACGATTTCGAGCAATTCCAATGCCTGGTTAGGAAACGATTTCGAGCAATTCCAATGCCTGGTTAGGAAACGAGTTCGAGCAATTCCAATCCTGGTTAGGAAACCATTTCGAGCAAGTCCAATCCTGGTCGATTTCGAGCAATTCCAATCCTGGTTAGGAAACGATTTCGAGCAAGTCCAATCCTGGCTAGGAAACGATTTCGAGCAATTCCAATCCTGGTTAGGAAACGAGTTCGAGCAATTCCAATCCTGGTTAGGAAACAATTTCGAGCAATTCCAATCCTGGTTAGGAAACGATTTCGAACAATTCCAATGCCTGGTTAGGAATCGATTTCGAGCAATTCCGTGTTGGTGAACCAGGAATACTGCGGAGGGGCCACAGCTGCTGAGTGTCACTGGAACGCAAAGTTCAGGTCCAAGTATCAGCATACCTGACGCCCAACGCGCATTTATGATGCTTCACAGATGCCATATAGCTCAAGTGAAGGTGTCTGCGTATCTTTGAGCATCTGCGGAGGCAGGCAGCTGAAAGCGTTCGAAGCTTTTGCAACAGACAACATCGCACGGAAAAAGAATTGGATTCCGTAAGCGTGTCAGCCAAGCCTGCGCACGGCGAAGCCCACGGAGGATGTTTGAACGTTTGCGCCTGTCTTGGAGCACAGACTCACCCTGTTGTCACCAGGGAGGCGGCTTAACTTTATATAGTTTCGGCAGACTCCTTTGGCAACCTTCCCAAGCCTGACAACCGAGCCCCGGAGCGCAAACCCGGGCAGCCAGAGCTAGACCAAGTTCGCCAACAGCACGCGCAACAACAGTAGGCCCAGAGAGCAGGATCCTCAGCAGAGCCAGATGCAGAGGATCCAATCCGTTTCTCGAGTCCTACCGCTTTACCCCCGGCTACAAGCACTTTGAATAGGGCCACGGTGCAGCAACCTGCCGGCCAATGTTGGATTGGGGCTTGCGTCATTATTACCACGAATGACATTCCGTTTTGTCTTCCCCGACAAGCTATTTTCTGAAGCGCTCGCGCCGTGTGTTCAGTCAACGGACACACGCTTCCAGTCGGAGACCAGCAAGTCAGCAGTCTGGCAGGCCCTGCAGCACAGTGTCATGACTTTGACTTTGAGAGGAAGACTTTGAGCGTCTCCAACGAACGCAAGCGTAGCGCAAGCTCATACGGCAGGAGACCAAGCGCATTGAAGACAGCCACCCGGGAAAGAAATCACGCAGCCGCACGCTCTGATGCGCGACAGTGTCAGGCCGCTGACAGATGATGAGGTGCAGAAAGCGCCGGCTACCATGGGGAATCAGAGTTTTGTACCGAGAAAAACAAACCGCGCGCGGGACAGCTGAATTAGTGAGGTTGTCAGCCGATCTACACCGATCTACATGTCCCCCCCTGCCCCGCCCGAACCCTATCCTAAAGAACTCGGCTCCCCAGCGTCGTTGCACGAAGTGACCGGCAACAGCCATGGCTTGGCAAAAGCGCCCGGGATGCGGTTGATGAAGCTTCAACTTATGAAGGCGGGTTGAGCCGTGCTGACGAGAAGCTTGTGCTATGACATGAGCCCGGGCAACCTCGCTGATTGTGCACGTGGACAATTTCATGCCAGCTCGCAGTGGGACCTTTGAATTCCAGATTGTTCAGCTGGAGCACGCAAATTACCATTTTGGTATGGAGGAGAAGAAGGGGCTTTCGCAGTGCTCGCGGATGCTTTCAACGGTTTGGGGGGAGGGACGCCAAGCTGCTCCACGACTGCCTACGATATGCCCAGCAGACAGCTGACTGTGAAACTGTTTTCTCACCAGCCGCTTTCAGCAACGAACCAACCGCGGTGGCAATTTCAGAAAAGCACAAGAATCACACTTCCCAATTTGGAGTGGTCGTGATGCTGCGCCCCCCTGGCTGCGGAGCAGACCAGGAAACAGATCGACTTTGCTACGCCAGTTTGATTTGTCGCGGCTTCGTGTCATTAGCCAGCCCCAGCTTCAAAGGGCAACAGCAACCAGTGATGATGCCCACACTGGCCTTCCGCTAAGCCGATGTGGGCGACGAAGTGATACGACAACCTCAAGGAGAGGTTCTTGCAGTGGATGCAGGATTCTTGGGCGCAGCTTCGCTCAGAGGAGGGCGCCCACAAGCCAAAGAAGAACCGTTGAGCTGATGAAGAACAAAGACCAGTGTGAGTTGTCAATCCAGGTGGAGTCCTGCAGGTTCATCGGCATGTGCAGACTTTGCATGCAATCATCAATCGGCATTTCACGCCCAAGCGGGCCAATTGAGCCAAGACTTTCTTTCTCAGCAAGAAACAGGCGCCAGGCTTTTTGCTGATCGGGTCAGTCAGTTGCAGGCTGCAAGCATTCTGACGTGACAAACAACGTCCCTTCAAAGACCCGTTTCGGCTAGCCGAAATCATGTTTACAAGCTGTAGCGGAGCCTTGTAAAGGAGGCTAAAGCAGGTGGATGTATCTTTTTTAGAGCCTGAAAAAGGCACTTTTCGATTTGGGACTAAAGGGAGGTTGAATCGCCCAGCTGTTCTCTTATGGGTTCCATCAATTGTGTTTTTTGCTGCAACAGGGCATCCGGAGTTTAAGAGGGCAGGTCGCAAACGTAATACCCATTGGCACCCAAATCCCTTGTTTGGGGTGTCACTAAGAATGGTGAACTGCAACGGCTCCCTCCTTGCTGGAAGCTGGCCAGGGTGACGGTGAGTTTTCATGAGCATGAGAAAGGGCCCTACGGGCCCCTTCAAACGTTACCAGGGTCACTGGGTCACTGGGCAGCCCTCGTTTTGGGGTCGTAAAGGGAAAACATGCGAACACTGGGCGCAAGGGTGAGGACTGCATGGGGGAAACTGTGACATGAATGTGTTCATCTCCTCAAATCAAAGAGCACTTCAAGACAGGCAATTTTTATTGGCTGGGTTGTAGCCTCATCTTGTCAGAACAAACACCGTCTTTTGTCACGTTTTTTCTGGTTAAAAAATCCCACCCGTTTTCACTTGTTTCCTTCGTCGCTCGGGCCCCAAGGGCTATGGCTTCTTCAGGCCAAGGCGCGCGCCGCAGCGCGGCGGAGCCGCAGGGCGTCGCGGGAGGCCTGGGCGACTGCACCTGCCTGGGCCAGGGGAAGCTGGGCGGTCAAACACGGAGTGTGGGCCAATCCGATTTTCCAGAATCCCGAAACCACTACAAAAGGGCACCAAATTCTTATTCCAAGGATTAAGGAGTGCGCGTGAACAACCCAAATGGTGCCTGGACTCTCAAACTAGCCCAAGTTACCCCATCAAATATCTTGCAAACCACATCTGTTGAGACACACTGCCTCCAGATACAGACCCTGGGGTTTCAAGGGTCATAAGTTATCAGTGGTAAAGCTGGTTGCCCATGTTTTCCGCTGGAATTGCTCATGGGTATTTGGAGTATGGGACATTGCTTGCGCAATCAATTATTCGATGCGGCTGAAGTTGTTAGTTTGATCATGGAAGCTGAACAGAACGTCTTCTTTCGGCGGCTCCCTTCAGGGTTGAACGTCAATGTGCAGAGAACACCATACATGTTGGACAGACTGGGATAACTTGTCTACAATCCCGTTGTCCTTTTTTTTTCTCTAGAGGAAACCGGATACACGCTTGCCATGTTGAGCCCAGGAATTGAACCTCTTCAGGGACCCACGGATGCTAAGAAAAAAGGCCTTCAGGCTTGCACAGGGCATGCGTTCTGTGGGCTTTCCAGGCTTTCCTACTTTCCCTTTGGAACCAACCGAAAAGAGGCCAAAAACTGTTGGGAAACACCCGGAAGAGGCAAGAACGCGCATGTTGCCAGGTTTGCGCGGCCCCACCACGTGTTGTTTTCAAAAGAGAGGTGCCCTAAAATGGTGTCCCTTTGGTTTCCGTTGAAACCGACCTGAAACGGGTACCCTCAAAAACTAGCAAACCCGCTTTCTTGAAGTTCTGGGGGCCACAGTCGTCTCCCCTGCAACTCGACAAGGTAATGTTCTAGGTCCCTCAACGTGACCATGTTCACAGTCTCGAATTCACTTTCACCCACCATTTACAGAGTAAATTTGACGTCACTTGACGGACGCAGTGTTGCCCCAGGATGAAGCCCCCAAATTCACCACCATTCAAAGGATGTCTCATTTTCCTGCACCCAGATGTTCGAGCTATTCCGCCCCTCGTCACCCCCCGCCCAGCATTTTTGGAAGCGCGTTTTTGTTGATCAGGAAGGCGGGCCTCAGCGCACCATTGGCGAACAGATCTTTCAGCAGAAGTTGGAGAGGTGCGAAGTCCGGCCTTCGAAAGGGCTCAAATGGCTCAAACCCCGGGTACAGTAAGTATGACATAGTCTTTCGTTTAGGGTGAGCCGGTCCGGGTCGTTTGTCCAGTTCAGGATAATTCGTCGTGGCAGGTGCCAAAAACTCACACGGGCTGTGGCTTGCGTTCTGGGTTACTATTTGAGTGCCAAACAAGCCGTTTGGATCGACCTTTGGCTGAACCGAGGATTTTTTTGGTGTTCAGTGCACCAAATGGAGTCCGCCCCAAAACGGGCTCCAATTTTTCCGCAAGTCACTGGGCAACTTGTTTTGTTTGGCGAACTGCGTCAGGCGGAAGGAGAAAGCGGCCAAGGGCAAGAACGGCGTGAAGGGAAAGCAGGGAAAGAAGGGAAAGAAGGGCAGGTGAGCAATGCCCAAGACCCGTTAAGGGGCCTTTAAGCAGATGGTTCTACCTGGTTTGATAGGGTTTAAGGCCTGTACAAACCTTAGCCATCAGAGTAGAACCACAAGTGAATGAGTTTGGGCACTGCTCAAGTGAGGTGTTTGTCAATAGCTTTAGCCACACCATCAGCCTGTCCGTGCCGGCCAAAGTCGCACATGCGGAGCAGCGAGTGGCAAATGAATGCACAAGCCTGCGATGACTGACTTTGTTTATTTGAGTGTGCTTATTTGTGAGAGTAGCCTTTACATCTTGGTTTAAAGGGAAGCTGGCAGGAAAACTGGATTTTGATTCCGCTGACTTGTGCAGCCAACTTGCCTGGTACAGGCTGGTGAAGCGCTTCGTGCCTTGCTTGACATGCGTCGTTGCATCATCGTGTTGGATGTGACTATTTGTGGAAGCTTCAGGCTCAAGCATGCCAGCAATGGACATACCCATCCAAGTCGCCCGGATATACAGGAATCGGATACGGCAAAAAAAAAGGAGATTGATTTGGGCTATACTATGTGCCTACAGGCCTAGGTGATGGCATCGGATGGATTCGAAGGATCCAAAGCTGGAGCCTAAGACGAACTGTCGACCCAACTGCTGGAAGTTGCCACCATGGCGACCTCAGGTGAAATACTGTGGATGGACGAAATCCGGCACCACTTTGAAACGATGGGAAACCAGTGTTTGTTAATATTTGCAGGGGAATCATCATTCCAGGGTTTCTCAGGTGGTGCAGGATCTCGTCCATCCACAGTAGGGCCCAACCAACGACCACCACTTGCGGGCTTGGGGTAGGCTTGGCCATGCGCAGGTCCCGGCTGCTCGTGGCCCTCCGAAAATGGGGACGACCAGAGGCGTGGAATGCTCACAGCCACCAACATCCCAAATGGGCCAAATTCTAACAACCTGGTTTCATTGGGCTTGTACAGCCGCTATATAAATATTAGCCATCTTAGTAGAACCAACAGTCAATGGGTTTGGGGCGCTGCTCATGTGTATGTGTGTGTGTTGTGTGTTTGTGAATCTCTGTGTCTCTAGGTCTCTGGGTCTCTGGGTCTCTCTGTTTGTGTTTGTGTGTCTCTGTGTGTGTGTTTCTGTGTGTCTATGTTTGTGCGGGTGTGTGTGTGTGTGGTTGTTTGAGGGTAATGCCCATTAACACATATCCACATGGTTTTGGGATCAGTTTTTAAGGGTCGTGTCCCTCCAAGGAGTCTATTGTGCGACTTGTTTGTTTAGGGTACTGGTCTTTTTCGGGTTCCAGTCTGCAGAATAGTCTCTAACCGAGTCCATGGCAGGGGATGCATTTCGGAATTTTGTTGTTTTTAGATTGCCACGTTCTGTACCCTTAGTACGGAAGTCGAATCAAGGCTGACAACCAAACTCCGCCGAACAATATATCCGCGCGCGCCAGAATGGAGTTGCTAAGGCAATGATCTTACCATGGCACATACATAGTGTTGTTTAATCGTTATCGAATACATAGCAAAGAGGCAGACAATGAGTGCATAGAATATAATACACAATAGATGCATAAGCCATTTAAAAAAAATAATAATAATAATAATAATAATAATAATAATAAATGTGTGTGTATTATATTACAAACACATATCCATATGTTGCACTTGAAATTTAAAAAACAACAAGAGGATTGATCCTTTCTCCGCCATTCGGTAGCAGTGCAGCAGTAGGTTCCTTGCCACTGCTCTTTTACCTGATTTGTCCGGTCAGATCCATGGGGAGGACTAAGGTAACACGAAGGTCCCCATGAAAGAACGCCCCCAGGTTCATATTTTGATTCGGAAGAGCCATAAGGGGAGCCATTGCAAGTAGTGAGCCAGTCCCTATGAGACAACTTCGGCTTGAATATCGCGGTAAAACCAGCGGTTTGCCACCTGGCACGGGCTCTCTGAACTCTGAACCTTGGCCTTTTCTTTGTCCCTTTTTCAATCGCTCACTTTTTGGCCAGGAGATTTCGAACGAGATGTGGGAGATACTTCCCAAGTACCAGGCGACATTGCGCCTGCCTTGCTACTCAGATGGCTGGGCTCTGAGAGTTGAGAAGATCACTTCTCCACTTTCTTCAGATCGCACCCGCAAGATTCCTTTTTCCTTGGGTAGGTTTCCTCCAAAACTGCTCAACACAAAAGCAGGTCCCATTTTTCTACCAGGGTCACTGAATCTGGGCTGATGCGTCGCTTCAGGTGAGGAGGATGTGGAAGAGTTGGAGTTTGAGGGAGAAGTTTGTGATGACCAAGAGGCCTGGTTCAAAGTCTGTTGCGTGACTGTCTCTTTTTGGAGTTGGTATCCGTTTTTTTGGGTGGCATGGAACGATCTGGAAGGGAAACCACCGTTTTCGCGGTCACCCAGTCTTGATGCATACCCAAGTCACAGTTTGAGGCCGGCTTGTGTCATGGGAACATGTCTGAGTTGTGCCAGGCTGCAAAGAATTCTGCCGCGGAGCAGGCACGACGGGGTCTCTGTCCCGGTTTCGGTTTGGTGTGGGTATGCCAAAATTCCCCTTCAATGGATCGCCAGTCGCGAATGCAGTTCCCCATCAATCGTGATTGTTATAAAGTGCTTGGAAGAAAGGAACGCGCAACTTGGCTATCTAGGTGGTTTGAAAGATCTGTTGGATTTGAGCCGTCTTAGATTGAGCTACTTCTGTGGTGTTCGGAGCATCCCCCCAGAATGAGCATGCCCCCAGAATAGCAGCTGGCAGGTCCCGATTTCTCCCCGGCTTGAACATCAAGGCCCTACACCTCTCTGGGAACGGAAGGAATCAGTCCAACCGTCTTACATTTTAAGCCCATGGTTTACACCTGAACGGTACACTCCAAACGTACCCATAGTGAGTAGATGACTTCGGGCTGCAGTTTGAACGGACAAAAGGAAGCCGAAACAGGCGTGTTCGCCTTTTTGTTCACACGCGTTTCTCGGTGTCCGATTCGATTCGATGCCAAGAGGCACCCATTCTACATGGACACGAAAAGGAAAAGAAAGCACCGGGCTGATGCCCGTGGAGACGAGGGTTTGTGTGTCTCTACACTTTATCCCTGAAGCATCCTTAAGCAGCGAAGCAGACGAACACACAGTGACTTGTTGGTTTGCTGGCACACACAAGGGAATTCCTACGTAGCATCCCCCCGCCTGCCCAACAACAAAAAGGCAAAACACAAGAGATCATTTGCCGAAGAATCTCCTTCCGAAATGGGGGAACCGTGCATTCCAAGGCTTACCGGCCTTTAATAAAGTGGGTGTCTCCGAACCTCCGAATTGAGTGGTTTCCTTGTTCCTTAGCCAAACATTTGCCCTGTGACCGCGTGCCTGGTCACCTGATGCTTCTTGCCTTGCCTCCGTTCGTGCCTGTTTCCCAAGATTTCTCTGGTCCAACCCCGTTAACGCCTTTCTATGGTTTTTCACTTGCCAGCTTTTCCACCATCATCTCAGCGCCTCAGCGCCCACGGGGTCCTAAACATCTGCTTCCATTGGAAGGAGAAACTCAGTCATTCAAAACCGACCTGTTAGCCTTTGGTTTTACCTGCTTTGGTCCACTTTTTGTAAAGGTCGCAAAAGGATAAGCATGTTTTTTTCTCGGTCCTTTGGGCAAGTGAGACAATGGCGTGCAACCCCTGCAGTGCAGCCCTTGCGAATAGTGCCAAACTAGGGATGATGATGAACCCCCGCCCAACCCCAAATCGTCCCCTTTCAACCGACCTGAAAAGGGCACCCTTCGCTTCAAAACAAACACAGCTCTCCACAGCTTCTCAAAATGATGAACTCGTTTGGTATGGTTTTAAAGGGAAAACAACAGAAAATTACCCATGAAACCCATTTGCATAGCGGCTCACGCGCAGGCTCTGGACTACTTGAGCAGCGAGGCGCCACTCATATGGCCGTGGGTCAACACCAATGGTACCATTTTGCGGTAGGTGCACCACCCATTTTTGCCTATTTTAGTCGGGAGTGGGATGTTCGCTGGGGGTACGGGCTTTTGACCCATGGTCATATGGTACGCATGGGAGATGCAAGAGGTCTCCTGCGGATCAGCCGCAGGCTGTGAAGCGCAAAATCGCCTCAGCCCCGGCGAGGTGTCCAAGCACCCAGTGCTGGTCACCACATGTTACAATATGGCGCGGCAAAAACATCGACAAACAGCAAGCGAATTCCCTGGATGTCTTTAACATAGGGGAGCCCTTAAAATTAGGCGGCTTCCGTCTATTTTCCCGTCAAACAAACACACAAAAGGGTAGCCTCAAAGACGGCACAGCCGGCTTTAGAGGCATTGAGACGTTGTCATCCTTAGGTGGAGATCCAGGCTGCACGCAAGAAGCCGAAGACCGAGAAGATTGACAAGCCCCAGGCGCGATTTCAGTTCGAAGATTCTGGTGACAGCGGATTCCCTACGACCGCTTAGGAATTCCAATCTTTGTTGTATGTGTGTGTGTGTATGTTTTACTTTCAGATCTGTTTCATGTAAGCGTGAGAGCGTTTCATTCTTGTCTAGTGAACCATGACCTAAAGTTTTCCGGGTGCTCAGCCTTCTGCCTGCTTTGTTTGATTGATTGACACCCTAGACCCCACTCAACAGCAGGTGCGACAACCGGTAGTCGAGGAGGAGGTGGAGGAGGTGGAGGAGGTGGAGGGCGAGGAGGAGGAGGAGCTGGCGGAGGATCCGGCCTGACGCCCAGCGTGTTTCCCTTTAAAGTCAACCAACCAACACGAAAAAGGCAGATTGTTGCCGCCCGAAGCCAGGTTGTTCAAGGGGGTAAACTGGGCGTCTGAGCAAAATGGTGCCTTGAGGGTCTGGTACGGACCGAATTTGGGTGGTCGTAAATCTTTTAAATGGCGAAGACCCTAATCTCAGTGGATGCATTTGCAGTGGAGGAGCGCGCGTGCTTGCGGGCGTGCAAACATGCGTGCTAGCGTGCGTTGTTCCTGTGCGTGCGTGCTTCCGTGCGTGCGTGGGTGCGTGGGTGCGTGGGTGGGTCTGTGTGTGTGTGTGTGGGTGTGTGAGTGTGTGGTGTGTGTGTGTGTGTGAGTGTGATTGTGATTGTGAGTGTGAGTGTGAGTGTGAGTGTGAGTGTGAGTTTGAGTGTGACTGTGACTGTGACTGTGACTGCGACTGCGACTGTGACTGTGACTGTGACTGTGACAGTGACTGTGACTGTGACTGTGACTGTGACTGTGAGCGTGAGCGTGAGCGTGAGCGTGAGTGTGACTGTGAGTGTGAGTGTGAGTGTGACTGTGACTGTGATTGTGATTGTGATTGTGATTGTGTGTGTGTGATTGTGTGATTGTGTGTGTGTGATTGTGTGTGTGTGTGTGATTGTGATTGTGATTGTTATTGTGATTGTGTGTGTGTGTGTGATTGTGTGATTGTGTGTGTGTGTGTGATTGTGTGTGTGATTGTGTGTGTGATTGTGTGTGTGTGTGTGTGATTGTGTGTGTGATTGTGTGTGTGTGATTGTGTGTGATTGTGTGTGTGATTGTGTGTGTGTGATTGTGTGTGTGTGTGTGATTGTGTGTGATTGTGTGTGTGATTGTGTGTGTGTGATTGTGTGTGTGTGTGTGATTGTGTGTGTGATTGTGTGTGTGTGATTGTGTGTGTGTGTGTGATTGTGTGTGTGAATTGTGTGTGTGTGTGTGATTGTGTGTGTGATTGTGTGTGATTGTGTGTGTGTGATTGTGTGTGTGATTGTGTGTGTGTGTGCGGTTGTGTGTGTGTGATTGTGTGTGATTGTGTGTGATTGTGTGTGATTGTGTGTGTGATTGTGTGTGATTGTGTGTGTGTGATTGTGTGTGTGATTGTGTGTGTGTGTGTGATTGTGTGTGTGATTGTGTGTGTGTGATTGTGTGTGTGTGATTGTGTGTGTGTGTGATTGTGTGTGTGATTGTGTGTGTGTGATTGTGTGTGTGATTGTGTGTGTGTGTGTGATTGTGTGTGTGTGATTGTGTGTGCGATTGTGTGCGTGTGTGTGATTGTGTGTGTGTGTGATTGTGTGTGTGATTGTGTGTGTGTGTGTGATTGTGTGTGTGTGTGTGTGATTGTGTGTGTGTGATTGTGTGTGTGTGATTGTGTGTGTGTGATTGTGTGTGTGTGTGTGTGATTGTGTGTGTGTGTGTGATTGTGTGTGTGTGTGTGATTGTGTGTGTGTGATTGTGTGTGCGATTGTGTGTGTGTGTGTGATTGTGTGTGTGTGATTGTGTGTGTGATTGTGTGTGTGTGTGATTGTGTGTGTGTAATTGTGTGTGTGATTGTGTGTGTGTGTGTGATTGTGTGTGTGATTGTGTGTGTGTGATTGTGTGTGTGTGTGATTGTTTGTGTGATTGTGTGTGTGATTGTGTGTGTGTGATTGTGTGTGTGATTGTGTGTGTGTGTGTGATTGTGTGTGTGTGTGATTGTGTGTGTGATTGTGTGTGATTGTGTGTGATTGTGTGTGATTGTGTGTGTGTGTGTGATTGTGTGTGTGATTGTGTGTGTGTGTGATTGTGTGTGTGATTGTGTGTGTGATTGTGTGTGTGTGTGATTGTGTGTGTGATTGTGTGTGTGATTGTGTGTGTGTGATTGTGTGTGTGTGATTGTGTGTGTGATTGTGTGTGTGATTGTGTGTGTGTGTGTGTGATTGTGTGTGTGTGTGTGATTGTGTGTGTGATTGTGTGTGTGATTGTGTGTGTGATTGTGTGTGTGATTGTGTGCGTGTGTGTTTGTACTGGCGCGTGTTCGTATTTTTTGCGCTTCTGTGCTTGAATGCCTGTGTGCTTGAGTGTCCGCGTGTTTGTGTGGTTGTGGGTTAGTTTGTTTTTTTTGAGGGAGCCCTTCTTGGGGTGGTTCAAACGGCAAGGGGAAACCCACCCATGTTTGGGGTTTCCCAATTTTGAAACGTACACGCACACATGTGTGTTTCTGAGGCTCAGTGCTTCCAGTTAGTCGGTAAATGCCGGCAGTCTGAAGGTCATTTGAGGAGAGACGCCCAGTTGACGCGCGAAAGCCCTACTTCGACGGTCTGGGAAAATCGCAATGTAGTATTCTAAGAGGCCCCTGTTTTGTTGTTGTTTTCCAAATTTATGAATTGTCCTTTGGAGCCTTTGGGGTACCACTTGCGGCGGCAAGCGAACCAAGATCAAACGGTTTCGGGTAATCCCCTCGCCAGAAATAGGTGCGGCAAGAAGCCGTGTGCAGTCTTTCCGACGCATTTGATTTTGGCTCGCGTGAGGTGTGGCCACACAAAATGATGCGGTCTGTGTATTGTTCTGTTCGTGGCGGGGGCTTTTTAGATTCCAGCCACAACAAACAAAACACCACCTAATTTCCCCATGGCCATTACGTGCAATCAGCGTGTTTTTACCATGTCTCGCATATATGATTCCCCTATCCGCGGCAGTTGTCTCATTCTCCGGGGAGTCCCGCTGAAAGTTCATTGATTCCACGCTTCCTGACTCGAAGACTGATGCTGAAGAAGCCAGGCAAGATGTCCAGTTGCTCACTCCAGTCCAGATGATCTAGATCGAGTAGCTTCGTGTAGCTTTGTGTAGCTTTGTGTAGGCTGAGTAGCTGGGCAAAGGTTGAGGGGCTTGAAAACTGAGAAGCGACGGTGGAACTGTCCACTCCGGCCTCAGGAAACCGAGCAAAGCTCAGAATGGATGGGCCTCCTGGCGCAGATTCCGCGATTCTTACAAGGAGTCATAGTTCCAAACATGGTCCCCAGACATTTTCAGAGGTGAAAGGGCCCAAGGCATCCCTATGGGTATGATGGGTCTTTGGAAGGTACCCAAAAATGGGCCTTTCGGGGGTTGGTTTCGGTCTTCCCTTTCACCACCTAAAAAAGAACTCCTCAGTCTGGACCACCCAGCTGCACTACGAATCTCCGTTTGTTTGCGCCGCGTCTTTGTGTGCTTCCTGCCTTCTCTCCCGCTCCCCACGTGTTGTTTTTCTCATGGTTCCCCTGTTTTTGAGGGTTCCACTTTTTGCTTACGGGAATCGATTCACCGGGCTGAGTGAGTTTTACCGGGCTCGAGCCCCCCGCGTTTTCGGGCCCAGTGTTTTTCTTTGCTTCGGGTCTTGGACAGACACATCCTTCCGACTTGGATCCTTTCAGAGAACGGCTTTCTTGTTTCGTGTGCACTGCTAAATTTGTCGGCTAGTGCATTTGGAACACCACCTCTTCTGTTGTTTGCTTCATGAAAGAGTGTGCCGCAGAACCCTCCCACCAGCTACTTGAGACAGAACCTGACAAAAAGTCTGGAGATCCTTCTGTTGTCACTCCTCCTAGCTGCGGAACCTCCCAAAGGTTTTGGAGGTCTTTTGCCATTCCTGCCGAGCTTCATTGCAATGTTCCTGTTTAAGGATTGCCCTTTTTGCAAGGCCTTTCTCCAACAATGCCCCCCAGGCCCTGCTCAAAGCGTAGATTTCCTGTAGGTGGGTTCCATGGCACCGCTTTCCTTCGACCAAGACCTGCCTTAATCTTTGCCATACACGTCACGTGGTTTTGTGTATCACCTGTGTAAAGATTTGTGATTGGTGCGATTTTTTTTCGGATCCCACCAACTGACGAAGCGGGCGGAGCCTCCGCCGTTCAGATGATGATGAGCGAGCTCGGCGTGCTGGGCTTCTGTGGCGATATGGGCCTCCATATCCGGGCCAAGTTCCTTTCGATGCTGCTGAGGCGCACGCCACGCAGCTCGATCTCCCGAGTGCAAGGCAGTGTGGTTTTGAGGCCCGGTACCCTTTAAGATTAGTTTGGTATCCAAAAAGGATCTTCCATTTTGGGGGGCCCTATTTTGACATGCCCAAAGGTTGCCAATAGGCAAAGGAGAGTTTGTGCCACCATCCAAATTGGCTAATACACTATGATACGCTTCTTAGATTTGATTTTTATATTGGTCCGACTCAACAAGGCGCAGGGTGTTGAGTTTGCTTTGGTTTGTCACACGCTTGGTCCATGTTCTCTTTACGCAGACTTCAATTTTGGGTTTCCTCCCGGTTCCATATGTTCTTTATGGGGGGCCTAGAAAAACGGGCGTCTTTGGGTCTCCTTCTGCGCAAGACAGCGCGTGCGGGTGCTCTCACAGGACGACAGCTCTGACGAAGCGATCGGCCGAGCAGCAACACCGCTCCGAGGAAGAGGCTGTGCCTGACAGACCAAGCCACGTTTTTGAAGACGAGGCCAACTTGGCTTTTCAACAAAAAGGAACCATTTGGCTGTGGCTCAAAAGCAGGTACCAAAATGGCACCCTTGGCAAGTGGAAGCAAAGACTAGAACCTGCGCAACCCTAGCTCTTTAATTTTGAGCCACACCCATTTGGCCGCCAAGCGTGTTTCGGCTTTGCGGTTTGCTCCTTGCATGAAAGCTCGAGAACCGAGAATGTCAGCTCCCACGATGAAAGATACATCTCTTGACGAGACAGCGCTCAATGGACCCGGACTTCCCTGGCTGCTCGTTTGATCCTCGCAACATGCTCGTTTGATGCAGCGCTGAATGTCATTGAGAGGTGATTTGTGTAATGAACCGTGCCTCTGTTAAACTTGCACACTTCCCTAGCAAATGGTTTTCCAGTCCTTTGGTTGCCGTTTCCGTCTTCAAGAGTCCATATGCGTCAGCTCCCTCGACGGACATCAAGGCCATCAAAGGGTAGAATGAAGCTTGGGCTACGGGGATGGCGGGAGGGGCTACCCATGAAGAGGAGCCTTCATGGAGTTAACATCATTATTCTACTCCTAGCTATGGGATTTACTTCAAGAGTCCTTTGCCCACAAGCTGTGTCCCGCTTTTGGTGGCCCAAGAGGTATGTGGCAAAACAGGAATTTGGACCCCCAATCGGCAACGCTTGCCTGTTGGCCTCCCTGATCAACCCCAAGGGATCAGCCCAAACACATCCACACATGTTGAGAAGCCTCCATAAGAGCCAGGGGCTCAAGTCCCACCAATCCAAACCATCAATTACTCGTAGGGGTAGCCTGATGAGAAACTTCCACAATAACCAGGGGTTCAAATTCTAGGGGTCACCTGATTTGTATGCTCCTTGTGGTTTCCCTTTACCCCAAGGGTACCCAACTCTTGGGCGGGCGCAAGGCCGCAGCCTAAGACCCGCCGGAGGTGCGGGTCGACACAAATGGAGTCATCATGTGGCCGCAAGAAAAGACTCCCATTCCAGCACCCGGGTCCCAACTGCCAAAATCCTCACAAATCCCAGTTCAATAAGCAGTGCTTGGAGGCTGCTGGTTTGTGTTTGTTTTTATCTCCCTCTTGTTTGGAGAAATGAGTCTGGCAAAGACAAACGAAACAAAATGTATGTTTTGCTGAAGCGGCGACGTGGGTTGTCCTTGTTTGTTCTAATGGTCCTGGCTGCTAGACCCACTTTGTTTTTTTTTGTTCTTAGCAAATGCGAGTAGTTGGTGCAGAATCGTGCTTTAGCTGGGACTTGGGAGCGCTCACGTGCATGTTGTTGCAAAGTAAGTTGACCCAAGTCCAGCCAAGAAAGCCACCAAAACCAGTTGGGAATTTTCAGAGTGCCCTGAGAATTGTGAGCCGTTCAGAGGGTGTTCTGGAAATGAGAGCATCCCAAAGGCGTGCCCAGAAGATCCCGGGCGAACAGGGCGCAGTGGTCCGTTTTTAGGACAGAACACGCCTTCACTGCTGACCAGCCGCAAATGAAAGCCAACTCTCACAATCGATCATTCCTGCAATTCTACCCAGCAAAGTACAGCCGGGGTCGTGTCTGATTGTCCCACAATGGGTCCACCGGGTAAAGCTATCCAGCCAGCTTCATCCCAAAGAGTTGAGCCAAAACCAAGTTTCCGCGGTTGCAGGTTTGCTCCGTTGCTGCTGAGTCTTTTTGCAGCGGACTATGAGAGACGTTCTCAAATCCAAGACCCCCAGATTGGTAACCTTTTGGTTCTCAACACCATCGCCAAAGGGCCGCCATTTTGAGCCCCGCGCATCGCCGGCTTTCTGTGCAAGCCCCGTGCGCCGCGGTTCCGCGGCTGTCCGCAGGAAGCGCGGCGAACCCGACAGCCCGTGATCTGTCGGAACCAGCGGCAGAGGCAGAGCGTGGGTCCCAATTGGGAACGGATGAAGCCCGTGAGGGGTGTCACCCTGAAGACCCAAAAACACTCCCACTCCCTTCCAAGCTTCAGCCCTTGGATCAGAACCAAAGGTTCTGATCCAGGCACTGGTGGAACTCGGAATAGAATAATTTTGCATGTTCCGATCGCAACCCTGAGGCAACTATTGATTGTTTGCATGTTATCTTTTTTTTTCGGCATCCAAAAAGAACCGATTTATGTGGAACCCATTCAACGGGTCGCCCAATCTTTGTGATGTCCCAAAGGCCGGCAACAGTGGAAGGGCAGCCTGGGCCGACCGGTTGTCCTTTGCTTCTGGTCTAAGGGTCTCCGCAGGCGCAAGGTGTTGAGTCTCCCTAAAACAAGTTACAAGCCCATAAAAAAAGAAGAAAAAACAACAACAACAACAACAACAACAACAACAACAACAACAACAACAACAACAACAACAACAACAACAACAACAACAACAACAACAACAACAACAACAACAACAACAACAACAACAACAACAACAACAACAACAACAACAACAACAACAACAACAACAACAACAACAACAACAACAACAACAACAACAACAACAACAACAACAACACAAGTTGGGGGATGAGGTGTCGTAGATCTGGAATGTCATTTATGGCTCCACGTTCCCATGGGGACGTTTCATCCGCAAGGGGCCCTTCAACGGCGCAAGGCGGCGCCAGTCTTGTGGCTTGTTGCAACGGGTCTCACAGGAAGCTGGCAAAGCGTGCGGCCGAGAAGGGGCGCCTTTTGGAGCAGCAGGCCAGACTGCGCCTTAGTTTGATTTGGGAAACCAAAGAAAAACCGGGCATGAGGCAAAATCTGTTTAAGCAACCAGCCCCTGCCAAGGAAGCAGCAAGGTTTTTGAACACGGGTTTGTGAAATTTGTTCAACAGTTGGCCGAAACCATGTTGAAGGTCGTTCGAGACAGTGGGGCAACCTCTCAGGGAACCAAACAAGCGTCGTTTTGCTCTTTGGGTTTGCCCTCGACTCCAAAAAGAGTTGACAGACCCACCGCTCACTGGGTTCAGTGCTCAATGAGCCTCACCAAGCGGAAACTCGCGGCGACTCGCAGAGGCATTTCTGCCTTCTACAAGTGGAAGGGTTTCCCTCCTGGACTTGACTCACCTATTGGGAGGGGCAAACATGTTTAGACTTTGTTTGGCCATCCACTCAGCAAGTGAGGCGATTTGTATTGTTCTTGCGGGTAAGATAACCCTTTTTTGAGGGGTTATATGATGTTACGTGAACTTGGAGAGAAATCCACAGCGCGTCCCTTTGCTGAATTGGCGATTTGTTTGTGGTGTTTTCCTTGTTGGTGTTCGAAAGGAGAAGACCCCAAATTGAAACCTTTTTGGTTCCCCTGACTCCTTGCCGGGTTTGACTGTGACTTGCTTCGATTACAATTAGGCCCGGACCGGTCCTGGATTCTGTGTGTTTCCCGCTAGGCTGCCGGCCATATTTAGGCAGCGGTCGATGTAGAGGCCAAAAGGAAGGGAAGTTGTTGTAAATATATTTCCCCAATAGTTCAAAGGACCATAGATGCGCGCACCCATCTTGAGCTAATGAGGGTCCCCGTGCCAGGCTCGGAACGGACAGATTTAAGCATCCGCTGGCCCGCAAACCGCGCTCAGCGGCGTGCAAACATATTGCATTTCGCCTAGGCAAAAAGCCTCGACGAATCGCAAATAATCGCAAGCTTGATCGCCTTTTGGAATATGGCAGGCTGCCTGTACAGCGCTGAGCGGGCGCGCTTGAGCGAGCCGGTGCGCATACCAATTTGCAGGCGTGTGTGTGGTGCTGAGCGGGCGCGCTTGAGCACGTGGCAGGCGCGTGCGAGATGCTCCGCGGGCGCTTGTGGGAACGCGCAGTTGGGACGGGCGGGAACAGCAAAACGAGCTACTTGCGCAGTTTTTGGGCAGTAGGCGCAAGCATCCCTGGCAAATGCTTTTGCAGTGGCCCGTCTTAAGCGAACCAAAAATGTCAGCTCTGACAGTTAAGCCCGACGATCCCAGCCGACCAATACCTCACCTTTAGAAGCCAACAAGCTCGACCTGGGGGTCGTGTCTCATTGTTGCGTGCTAACGCAGCTATTTAAGGCGAGCGCCGCAGAACGAAGTACAAACTGCTTTTGCCGCAAGATGTCAAGTCTGAGCCAGGTGCGTTGAGAATGTGGACGCGAATCCATCTAGCAGTTGTTTAAGCGCGCCAAATCTAAAATGATCTAGCGCAGATGGAATGGTCACAGCCCCCCTCTCTTCGGTGGGGAAGGCGTTTCTCAAGCTGCCTGTCCCAAGTTAAACCCCAGTTCGCAGGAAGTGGGCTTCCAACACGCGATTGGGGAGCACGCCTGGGAGATCGTTCCGGCGAGCCTGAGGCGCGGTAGCACAAGGTAAAGCCAGCTGTCGCTGTGTGTGTGTGTGTTTTGTGTGTGTGTTGTGTGTTTGTGTTTGTGTTTGTGTTTGTGTTTGTGTTGTGTGTTTGTGTTTGTGTTTGTGTTTGTGTTTTTGTTGTGTGTTTGTGTTTGTGTTTGTGTTTGTGTTTGTGTTTGTGTTTTTGTTGTGTGTTTGTGTTTGTGGTTGTGTTTGTGTTTGTGTTTGCGTTTGTGTTTGTGTTTGTGTTTGTGTTTTTGTTGTGTGTTTGTGTTTTTGTTGTGTGTTTGTGTGTTTGTGTGTTTGTGTGTTTGTGTGTTTGTGTGTTTGTGTGTTTGTGTGTTTGTGTGTTTGTGTGTTTGTGTGTTTGTGTTTGTGGTTGTGTTTGTGTGTTGTGTGTTTGTGTTTGTGTCTGTGTCTGTGTTTGCGTTTGTGTTTGTGTTTGTGTTTGTGTGTGTGTGTTGTGTGTGTGTATGGTGTGTGTGTGTGTGTTGTGTGTGTGTGGTGTGTGTGTGTGGGTGTGTGAATGTGAGTGTTTGAGGGAACCCTATTCATGCTTGTTTTCAAGAGCCATCATTTTTTTGGGGGGGGCTCAGTTTTGACACATACTCTTTGAGCCTTCGGGGCGCTGTGCCAGGCAGAAGCTGTGGAGTCTTGAGCCACACGATCCACTTGGTGGCCAAAGTCGCACACCGCAGCCGAAGATCGCCGGCGCGTTCCACATCGATATTCCATGGCCACTGGTGTCGCGCTCACGGTGTATGTATCTGAAGTCAACGTTGATGAGTCAAACAAAACGGCTTGTGCATCAGTGCCTGTGATGGACATCAGAAATGGGAATGGGCAAAGGAGGAGCTGTTCCAGCTCACCACCAAATTGGAGAGGGTGCCAAACAAGGCAACCGATCGCATCACCCGCCCCGGCACGTGATGACCGCATGAACCAGTGGCTTCGCAGCGTCGATGGCAATGGTGTCATGCGGAAGCACTCGGATGCTCTTGTCAGAGAAACCTGCTACGGTCGCTTTGCCACCACTGATTTGTGTTGACCAACGCCTAATTAATCCCCATTATTATTAGAGGGGGCTGCTACATAGTGAGCGTATACTCTTATTTTCCTCTGGAGACAGTGGACATGGGATTCGGAAGTCATTGCAGAAGGAAGCCTGATTTTTTAACGTGACGTTGGGGGAATGTCTGCAGTTAACTGGGGTGGGAGGGGCTGGCGAGTCGTGCTGCACCTTGCTATAAATTCGCAATCACATGTTGGGTTTGCTGAGGATGTTTTGACGGTTGCTCCAAATCGCGAGTCGGTCAGGCTCAAGCATGCCATCGGAGATAGCAGAACGCAGAACTTGAGCCAAGTCATACAAAAGCACGGATGCACAGAAACCCGTTCCACGACACACGTGGTTTGCTGGCTGGATGTAGTCTCACAAGCAGTGGCCGGAAGCCAGGCGCCAGCTGAAACGTGGCCATAGCCCCTGCCAGTCAAGTGGCTAGGTGGCTTCACGGTCCGAGCCGACGATGAGCCAGGATCCAAAGCTCGAGCCCAAGAGAAGCTGTCCGAGACCCCATTCAGCCCCCAAAAGTGTAGGGCTAAGGCGGATTCGGCCGTCGGGCGAAGCCAGGGGTCTGGGGTCTTGGGTAAGGTATTGTGAAGCTGTCGGAGCAGCGCCGGTACTTGGTTCAGGGCCGAGCTGAGCCAGCTCCTCCACAGGCATTGCGGACGACCCGCCCAGCCGGCATGGGGTTGCAAAGGCTGACTGAGTTGCCCGACGCGGAACCAGCAATCAGCATCATGTGTGATGTTGCTTATCCAGTTCAACTATGTGATTGATATGTTTGTACAATGGATATACTGCCGGGGGCAGGGGTTTCGCGCCTTTCCATTTCCCGATTCGCCCCAGAAGTTGAACGCCAGGTGCCGAGACAAATAGTTTGCCTTTGTTCATGGTACCCCTTTGTGGCTTTGAAGGAACACCAAACGGGGGGGGGGGGGAAACACATTCTGGGGGTTCCCCCCAAAAAAAAGCCGCCCAAATTTTGCCAGGTGACCAAGGAGGACGTGGTTTACATCGTGCAACGGTTCCACGGCTGTGAGCGGCCTGGCTTTACGAAGACGAACGGCGCCCATGTCTCTGTTGTTTGTTGTGTGTGTTGATTGTTTGTTGTTTGTTGTGTGTTGGTTGTTGTTTGTTTGTTGTTGGTTGTTGGTGTTGCTTGTTGGTTGTTGGTTGTGGTTGGTGTTGTTTGTTTGCTTGCGTGCTTGCTTTCTTGCTTTCTTGCTTGCTTGGTTGGCTGGTCGGTGGGTTGGTTGGTTGGTTGTTGCTGCTGTTGCCTTTCCCGAGAATTGCGGGGACAAACTCGATTCTGCGTTCTTGAGTGCATTGCTTGTTTGGCTCCTGTGCATTTGATAGAAGGGACTGAGCAAAACAAGCCTTAGCCAAGCTGCTGCTTTCCAGACACTTTACCCCAAACACAGTCGCAGTTGATACGGCGGCGCCGTTGGGCCAACGTTATCCTGTTCAAAATGAAGCTTTGCAAGGTATCAGGCAACCCTACGCCTGCCTTGCGTAGATGGCCGGGGCCTCAGATTGGAAGTCCAAATTCAGCCTGAAGCGATGACTTTGTCATTGGCCGATGTAAATTCCTACATCTTGCCAAGTCCCCCTCGATCCCTGTGGATTTCGTGGTTTCCCCGTTGATGTCGTCGCGTCACAGGTCAAGAGTTTGTGGGTGAAGTGTGCGGCGACCAGAAGGCCGGACGGACCAGTGGCCAAGCCTTTGACTCAAGCGTGTTCTTTTTGTCAGCTTTTTGAGGGCCCCCGTGGGTACCCATGTTTGGTTTTTGTTTGAGGCTAAATGGACTTTTTGTTTAAGGGTACTTGCTTTAAAGGGAAACCACAACCTTGTGAGAAGGGTTGAAAGGACTAATGCCAAGGAATTGGTTTGCCCCAAAACTTGTTTTGTTGTGTCCCCCCAGTACTTCGGATTTGGGCCATGGCGAAAAGCAGGGTCGAACCCGAGCAACCCTGAGAGCCATGCAAGCCTTGGTTAAGGTTCAACCTGAAACTTAGGAGTTAGATGTGTTCTATCATTATATTCAGGGACAATCTAAGATGATACCATGTTTTAGCCCGTTTGGTACCATGTTTTGGCCCGTTTGGAAGTTTGAGATGAGACGGCACTGAAGGTCGAGCCACCCGGCACCACCAAGATCGGAAAATGTACTCCCTGCTATTGCGATTTGGACCCAAAAAAAGCAAAAAATGGCTGGGGGCGTGTGCACATTTTCCGATCTTAATAGGGCCGCGGCAACTGCGCTCTCCCAATTGATTTCTCACTCAATGCATGAACAACTCTTGCACGACCTTTGCAGCCGCATCCCACCTATCTCTTCCGCGCACCCACGTTTGCCACTGCGCCAGTCTGATCTTCCGATGCATTGCAGCAGGAAGTGTGCGGCTGGTGTCCTTGACAACTGTCTTCGCGATCTTCCACCAGCCGTCAAGACTGCAAGTTCCACCAGTCACTTGAATGACTGCGCCACCTGGAAGCTTGTGCAGGCGCCAGGCAGCGTATTCAGGGCATTTGGTTTGATCAGCATCCACCGCTCTGTAGCACTTGCTCAGCCGCAGTTGCGGAGTCCATGCCAATCCACTCGTCCAGAGGAGCTTGCATGAGTAGCTGAAGAAAGCAGGCCGCGCCATCTGAGGCTCATGGCTCACAGATTGGCCGTGCAAAAGGCGCACCTCCATGGGAGCCAGAGCCGCTGCTGCGTGTCATGCGATGAGCTCCTCAAGAACGACGGAAACACCCCCCCCCCCCGAATCCCCCCCAAGAAAAACCTGATCTTGGTGGGGCCGCGTGCCAAGGTCGACAGTTAGTGACTGGGGACTTTGAGTGGCCATTATGTACCAAGGATCTCGGGGCCTGACGTATCACAGGGTTGAAGTACGCGTTAAGTGTGTTTGTTATCATGTGTGCTCCTAAGTAAAGCGAACATAAATCGTTGAATTTGCTTCGCCATTGACCTTCCCGTGGCCCCTTGCCATGGCTCCGCATCAGCCTGGCGTTGGACGCCAGGAAACCCTTCGGGGCACACCACCCTCTTCATAGATCACATGGAGTCTTGGAACCAAGTCACAGATTCAGGACCAAAGCTTTATTATGGGTCCGAGCGGCGGGCGCTTGTGGTTTGTCCACTTAGTCAAAATCAGCTGGGTAGGATCAGGTAGCGCAATCAGCCCCGTGTCAAGTCTGGGGAGGTTTGAGTTGGTAGCCTGTTCGGGGTGAGTGTTTGTTTCTCAGGCAAAAGGGGCACCCTGAAAGGCCTTGCCAGGTCCCCTTGTTTTGAAACAAATCGTCAGGCTGCGGAGAAATCCGCCGCAGAGCAGGCGCGCCTTTTCGATCCTTTTCCGAGACATGTCGGTGTGAAGAAATTTCAGCTGCAAGGAGCCACAATCTGTGCAACTTGCCGTGCGCAAGTAGCTCTGTGCAGATGGCTCTGTGAAAGTTGATCTGCTCAAAAATATATCTGTGCAGATGGCTCCGGGCAAGTAGCTCTGTGCATGTTCGCTCTGTGCAAATTGTTTTGGCAACTGACTCTGTGCAAACTGCTTTTGGCAAGTCTGTACAAGTTGGTCTGTGTAAGTGATTACTTAAGTTGCGGATGGCTCAGTGCAAGTAGCCCTGCGCAAGTTCGCTCTGTGCAAGCGGCTCTGTGCAACTGACTCTGTGAAACTGGTTCTGCGCAAGTGATTCTATGCAAGTTGCTGTGCAAGTTGGTCCCAGGGCTCCGCACGGAAGCACGGAAGAACCCTTCGCGATGCTTTCAGGAAAGTACACGGGACTTTTGCGTACTGCTATCCATTCAAAGCCCCAGTGCAATTGGAAGAGATTGGCCAAGAAACGAAGGATAGACAACTCAGCTGCCCCGTTCGCTCGACTTGGTGAGCTTGACACGCTGAAGAAACCCTTACTGCTGGGTTTTGCATAGACCTCACTTGTTCCCAGCACATCTTCCGGGTGAGGAACCGAGAAGCAAAGCCGATAGAATGGATCTCATACTGCGCTTGCTTGGCCAGGCACTTCTCTTCGGCGATTTGGAGGCGCGACCACGCTGGGTCTCTTTCAACAACCCCCAAACATGCTCAATGCATTGTGCTGCCACTTTCTGCAAGCCAAGGCAACTCTCTTTCATACCAAGTATACCCGGACAAAGATCAACTTAGGGAATTGGATTGGCACATGCGAATCCCAAGAGGCAGAATGGTCTCCAGATCTGTCGCAGGGTAAGCGAAGAAGCGCCCGGAGCCACTGGGACTTGCTCGGGTTGGTTTCTGGCTTTCTCCTTGGTAGGTGACCAGGGAGTTTATGGGGACTTTCCATTGTTTTAAATGTTGGCTTCCCACCTGCTGTACTTGTCGCAGTTTCTTTTGAGCAAAACGCTTAAGAAGAGCAAGCCAACATTGCAAAAGTAAATGTCCGCCAACCACTGACACCCACCTGTTTCCAAAGGATCCTTGTAGTGGCAACTTGTTTGAGCGTCCGGTTCAGGTTGCAAGTCCCCCCTCATCAACTGTTCAGGTCGGACCCTCTTGTGCTGCGCTGAAGAGAAGTCAACGGGCATCGTGTTGGGTCCCTACGTTGCAACTATTTCCCTTTCTGAACCCTCAGAAAGTGTCCCACTTTTGAGTGCCTTGATTTCTCCCCAACGCTTGACGGTCCTTGGGAAAATCAGAACCATTCCCTTTTTGAACGTCACTTGCAACTTTGGGGGACAGAAATCCAACCCGGTTCAACCAAAAAGTTGCAATCCCAAATTCTAGAAAGATCCAAAGCCCACAATCCTAAACCATCAATCCACCCCAAATCCATGAAATCCAATCCACCCCGATCAACCCCAAGTTCCAACCGGGTTCGAACCCAAGGCTTTCCGCGTCAGACACCCGAGGCGTCCACCTTCGAGGAGCGGAAGAGACAGAGGACCCAGGCGAGCCAGTGGCGCTTTTTGGGCCCGAAACCGTGGCCTCGCGTGCTCGAGATCTATGCGGGTGGTAAATATACGTTGGTTCGGGGGTGTGTTGCTTCTTGGAAGCTTCAGATTCGCCTTTCCGTTGCGATTGCTGCTCTCTTTTTTTGTCGTGCATGGCCAACAAGGTGAGCTTGCCCGCGCAAGCAGAATCTGTGGGTTGTGGGTGGTATTTCCTTTCGGTTCGGCCATGACTCAGGAGGAGGATGGCGATAACCCGGCTGGCGCCCAAAAGTCTCTCCTTGAGAAGTATCGACTCCAAAGCTTGCAGAGAATCCTGGAGAAAATGTCCCGTCATTTCTGGTAAGGAGTACTTTTGACCATGTTTGGCAACCCGCAAAACCCCGCAAGCCCACTTGTTTTTTTTTTTTTCCCCGGGGACCCCCCAAAAAAAGGAGGCTCCCGAAATGGTTTCCCTTTCAAGCCCCCAACAACGGGAACCAACTCAGACGCCAGACCCATCTACCCCACGTTTTCCGCTCGCGCCCCGTCCGAGGCCATCACCCCCAAGACGCAGCTGCCAGGCCCCAAGGCCCCAAGGCTCACTCGAGCAATGGGAGTCCCATCGCCTGCGATCGCTTTTTTCCATCCACTTCACCATCCAAAAACCGGTGACTCAAAAAGAAAGCAGGAACGTTGGCTGTCTAGGCAAGAGATGCCAAGATTCAAGTGCGGGTAAGTTTTAGATATTCCGGACAAGTGCTTGGGATGTCCAAGAACCTGTTTGTTTATTTTGGGGTTGGGGGGCAGCATGTGGAAGTCAAGGAACAGCCTCGTCATGAGAATTGTGAAGCGGTTCCTGCAGAAAGGCGAGACCGCACTGGACTCAGTCGGACACAAACCAGAGGTGTCCGGGATGGGGAAAAAAGTCCTAAGCCATTCCGGACATGTTTTTGGGGTAGATGGTTCGGGGTTGTACAGCCACTACGCTTTCAACGGTGACTTGTTCCTTGGGTACCTCACAGTGAGGTAGCCAAGGAAAATCACCAGTTGCTTTGGTGTCTTGTTTCCCCTTCCTGGCGACCTATGGCAAGCACTGGGTGTTTTGCCGGTGTTGCCTCATGTCGAGCCGAGACTTATGACACCAACAAGGCAGGGAGCGTCATAGGCCTGACACCAGGGGATCCCCGAATCAGATCTCCAGGCCCTAGGCCCTTCGCCACATTTCCCCTTTGCGACACGCCCTTGATACCGATTTATTTGTTTTCTTCCTTTTGCTTGAGGCTGGCTACCCTTGGGCTTGGGACACCAGAGGAAAACCGCTTGTTTCGGGGCTGAAAAGACGCGGCCGTCGATCCGCGCGATTGCGGCCTTTCCAGGCCCATTTGATCGCCAGGTGGGCCAGCAGTACCAGGCGACGGTTGTGCCCGGCACCGACGTCGGGTTTCGTTGGGACCAGAACCCCGACCCAAACCTTCTTGCTGTTGTTTTATTTTTTAGGAGGGGCACCTCAACTGGTGATTCTTTGTTTTTGAGTTTGTTTGTTTTTTTGGGGGGGGGTTGTGGGACCCCAAACTGGGGTCAGCGTTTGGTACCATCGGGGAGATTATTTCCCTTGACCAGAAAGGTAAAGATGTAAATCCTAGGAGTTTTGGGCTGAACGTTGCAGTAAATGATGCCGTTTGCGTTTGGATGGTAGTGGCAAACAGATATAGCTTAAAACTTTTTGTTGGCCCATCCATGGAAGTGAGAATGGTCAGCTTTCGAGGTCCACCCAAATCAAGTCCCGCTCGCACCGAGGTTGTCAGCTCTGCCTGGTGACTGGGGTGAACGCGCCCGGACCTCTCTGCAACTGGATCGATCCGCTTCAAGTGTTTGCCTCTGTTGTCTTACCTCAGTAGGGTGAGCCTGAGCCCCCCTCAGTTTTGGCGTTTGGTGTGTAAACTTCGCAACCTCCGTGAAATTGGAACAGTTCCCCATCAGGGACGTGAAAACCCCCCCCCCCCCCCCCGCTTGCATTCAGGGCGACCCTCTGTGATTTCTGGCCGGATGCTGGGGAGCAGGCAAATCATACCATTTGCTTTGAAGCAAGGTGTCGACAAGGACAGATGAAGCTAATCCTGACCAAATTCCAGGGAGAGACGAAGGTTCAACTCCGGTAAACCTCAGTGAAATTGGAACAGTTCCCCATCAGGGACGTGAAAAACCGCACACCTGAAGCTTCCCCCTGAGTCCTGGGCTGGGCACCTCTGCTCGCCGGGCCCTCGGACAGAGGCTGAGCGCTGAGCTCATGAGCATGCTGGTGGATCCTCACCCGATGTCTGAACTTTGGGAAAATGGAAAACTGTGTCAATCCGCGGAGTGTTTATTGAAATAGACCGTACTCCTGACAAAAGAGGAATGATAGGGGGGGGGCCCTTGAGCAGTTGCGGTCCTCAGGATAAATCCGAAGCCCTTCTTGTTGTAGGCATATCTGCCCGGTGTTTTGGAGAATTGTGCGGCCAAAAACAAGACAGTGAGCCTAAAGCCCAGGGGGTTGTGGATTTCCTGGTAGGACGAAGCAAAAGGCGGAGCAAAGCGCCGCAGAGGAGGTGAGCTACGGTCTGACACAGCTGCGTAGCGCCCAAAACCCCACTACCTGGTTTCAAAGGTTGGTAAAGCTATATAAACCTTTGTGACCATGTAAAACCGAACATGAATGGGTTTCGGGCTCGGCCTAATTGGCCGGAGCGACCTCTATTGGGAACCAAGCTGGTTGGGATCATATGTCTTGGCGAGTGCCTTGGGCCAGGCGCTAAAGGACATTCAGAATGATCCGGACCTTGCCGCAGAGGACGGACCAGAGTGGGTTTGCTCCTTTTGTGGCGTGATGTCGCAACGTTTTCGCCTTGCCAGGCAAGCAAGCCCAAAGGTGGCGGGAAGTCCAAGGGAAAAGGCCGGCCGTGTGATGTGTGTCACTTCAACGACCAAATCCCCCCCTCTGCCCAAGAACGGTTCGAGCCGAACGAATTTGTTGATCAGAACGGGCAATTCGCTGAACCGCAAATGGGGTGGCCTTCGGGCTCAAAGCCAACTTGCCGACCTTTCGACTCGCATGCAGCAGCGAAGGAAAGTTCCAAAAAGGCGGCGGGGAGCTCGGAGTTCCAGCGACCGGAGCGCGGAGTTGTGACTGCGACTTCGAGGCTTCTTTGGCGACTTTGGAGACTTCGATTTCGGCTTCGGGGGCTATGGTTACGACATGGCGCCTCCGGCCTTTGCTCTTCTTTTTTTTTTGCGTTGCGTGCGTCGCTTCGCTGCGGGTGAAATTCCCCGTTTCGCGGCTCTGCGCCAGGGCTGGGGCTGGAAGGGCAAAGGCAAAACCTTCAAAGGCAAAGGCAAAGGCGCCGTCGCCGGCCGTCGCAGGGGTTGAGGCTACATCAGGGAAACCTCCCCAAATTGGGTGTGTTCCATTTCTACCTGGAGTCTCCATGACCCTTTAGAAATGGGGTCATGAGCCATGACCCCTTTATTTTGGGGAATGACCCCATTTTCAATTGGTCATGGAGACTCCAGGTAGTTTCCCCAACCGTCGAACCCTCATTCGGGTCTTTAAAAGAAGCGACACGTGTCGCGGTGGGCGTCCACAAGGCTCCGAGGCAAAAGCTTTGCACGCCAGGCAAAGGCCCAGAGGGCCTGGAGCCTAGCGCGCGCCTGGAATGGATCGGGTCTCACATTTGTGCTTCTTTGTTTCATTGGATCCACTTGCTTCAATAGACCCAGCCCTAAATGCAACCATGTCCAAAAGAACCCTTTCAGCAACCACATTTTTTGACTTTCCGTCAAGTCGGAGTTGCTTGGTGTCCGCAGCCTTTGAGGATCAAACAGGATCAACTCGGGGTCAAACGGCCCAAGCTCACCACCTCCACAAAAGCTATTTATTTGAGAAAAGCTGTTGCTGGACCACTTGGCTGTTGATCACGAGGAGGTGAAGACACACTGCTACCCCTCCCCAGTTGGGGGGTAGCCCTTTTGACAGTTCTTCCGCCATGATTCGTGAATTGTGGGAGGACAGAATTCTTGGAGAAGGTGGCTTGCTCAGAACTGGGTATGGATTTTCATATTTGTCTCAAAATTGCAGGACCCTGGAAAAGAATGGCATCCATATAGGGTATGATCCATTTTAAATTCATGGCCATTTGGCTGTGTCTCAAGTTTCACAGGAACTCCAAATCAGGCTTTTGCCGTTCCCAGGAGATGGGTAGAAGCTTGGTAAATGGTGTCCTCAATTGCCCCTTTGCCGTGGTTGCATTCCATGCAAATTGGATTTATGTTGATTCCCTTTACTGGTCCTCCAGTGTCATTGCTGGGTTTTGCAAGAATGATGCGGTTCCTCGTGGTTTCCCCTGAAAAGACCACCAAACCAGGGTTCCTTTCCCCCAAAAAAGGAAAGGAAAAGAAAAGAGCTGGAACCGCGACTCGCTGCCCTCAGGTTTTGGGGAAAGCACCTTTAAGCTCTTCGAGTCCAACGATGGCTTGGAGGACATGAATGCGCCGCCGTGTCTTGGACGTCTCGAAACCAAAAAGCCCAAGTCCCCTCCGCTTTGATCCTTTGAGGTGGTGGATCCGAGCAAGGGCTTGCCACCCTGTCAAAACCAGAAAGTGACCCAGGGTTAGGCTAATCTTGGGTTGCTGTTTGACGAGTTCCCCCTGAAAGCCCAGGGCCGGGGTCCAAGCAAACAGACATTAGGTGGGAAATGAGTTTGCTGCATGCTCGTTTTATGTATGTTCAGCACAGCGAGTGAGTCTGAGGTATTTCGTCGTTTGGCTTCACGGAATGCACAACGGCCTGATTGGAGAAAAAGACCTGAGAACGATGCAGTGGAGGCAGGTGGTTTGAATGAGCTTGAAAGAACCAGTCCTTGTTTTTGACCACATGTCACGGCATGTGGGCCGGGGGGGGGGCAGGGGGAGCGGGTTCTGGGTGTTCTTGACATTCCCGCCCGAGGCTGGGTCGCAAGGTGATATTCATGGTGCCTTTGAGCCCAAAACCTTGCGACGGGCTCCATTTCAACTGGGGCTGTGCCTTCACGAAGCAGCAGAACAAGAAGGCCCGGCCTGTGCTTTGTCAATTGAGAGATGCAGAAACCCAGCGGCTAAGCAAAGGGAGCAAACGGAGGGTGTGTGCAAAAACGCTCCAAGCCAAGCGAAGTATGGGCGATGACGAACTTACGTCGAGGGAAAGAGGGCGAAGCCAAGAGAGCGAAGCGAAGGGCAGTGCAGTCAGAACGAAGGGCAGCGCAGTCAGAGCGAAGGGCAGCGCAGTCAGAGCGAAGTGCAGTGCAGTCAGAGCGAAGGCAGGGCAGTGCAATCAGAGCGCAAGCAGAACAGAGCGAATGTTCGACACCGCAAAGTCGAATGGATGGCAATTCATGAATTGCCCAATTATGTAGATGGTTGTGCTGGCTGGGCCCACAAGTTGTTGTGTTGCGTGTTATTTGTTTGTGTGTTTGGATGTGTCAATGGCATTTTGGCTTGCATTTTGGCTTGGTGGCTTCGTGTTGTTTGGGCTTTCGGCTTCGTGCTGCACTACTCTGGAAGCACTTCGGAGCTATCGCGCTCTACATTTTTACTCAATGTGAGGCATTGCGGATTGGTGAAAGCACTTTGCACATTTGTTGACCGAGCTCAGCTCGTAGCGCCCTTTCTTTTTGGCTTGGGGATACATTGTGTTCATGCCAGGTTCTTTCAACGTGACCCGCGCGCGCGCACGTGTGCCTGTGTGTGTGTGTGTGTGTGTCTTTGTGTGTCTCGAGTGTGTCTCTGCGTGTCTCTCTGTGTGTCTCTCTGTGTGTCTGTGTCCTGTCTCTCTCTGTGTGTCTGTGCGTCTCTCTGTGTTTCTTCCCGTGTGACTCTCTGAGTCTCTCTCTCTCTCTCTATATATATATATTGACACCTTCAACTAGAAGAGGGCAAAGGTAGGCCCTGGGGGGGGGGTGACCATATATATATATATATATATATGGTGCAGCGTTGCCAGCCCCCCCCCCCCTCCCCCCCCCAATGGTCATGGGTCAAACAAGTACCCCCCCCCCCCTGTGGTTGTGGTCCTGTGGTTGGGTTGTGGTGGTTTAGGGTTGGTTTAGAATTGGTTTAGGGTATATTTAGGGTTAGTTTAGGGTTGGTTCAGGGTTGATTTAGGTTGATTTAGGTTTAGGGTTGGTTTAGGTTTAGAGGTGTACGGTTTAGGGTTTGGTTTAGGGTTTGGTTTAGGGTGTATTTAGTGCTGGTTTAGGGTTGGTTTAGGTTTAGGGTGTATTGTTTAGGGATTGGTTTAGGGTGTATTTGGGGTTAGTTTAGGGTTGGTTTAGGGTTAGTTTAGGGTTGGTTTATGGTTGGTTGCGGGTTGGCTTGTCATTGGGGGTGGGGGTGCCGGGGTGTCGGGGTGCGAGTTCAGGGGGTCGGGGTGGGGGTGGGACCGTAGGTGCCAGGATCCGGGGGCTCGGGGTCTCGGGCCGGGGGTCCTGGGGGACCATACCATATGGGGGGGGGGGGTAGCAACACGGAACACGGGACCATATATACACGTGTGTGTTTTTGTGTGCGTGTGTGCCTTTGTATGTGTGTCTCTATTGTGTCTCTTGTTGTGTCTCTGACACAAGTGTGTGATGTTGTGTGTGTGTGTGTGTATTTGTGTGTGTGTCTCTTTCTCTCTCTCGCTCGCTGTGTGTGTGTGTGTCTTTGTGACTGTGTGTGTGTGTGTGTCTCTGTGTGTGCGTCTCTCTGTGTGTCTCTCTGTGTGTGTGTCTCTCGGTGTATCTCTGTGTGTGTGTGTGTGTGTGTTTATGTTTGCTTGGTTTGAAGCGAACACAAAGACTTGCACCTGGCTCCATTTTCGGGCTTCCTCCAATTTTAGAGACACCTTCACTTCTTTTCCCACTGGTGATGTCCGAATGTCAAGGCCCCTGCGCGAGATGATGGCACAGGCGACAGCCCAGAGCGCGAGTGACGACTCCAGAGTCTGACACAAGCGCCAGTGGGCATGCTGGATGTGACGTTACAAGAGACCAAGCCAGTTGAGACAATGATCAGCATCCATCCCCAACCCAGTTTAACAGTGGAAGAGCGCTTTACCCTTTTGTTCTTTGTAGATGGGTTTGCCACGTACACAGTACCCAAGCGAAGGGTCGCTCACCAACTGTTCATCTTGGGAAAGCACTCAATGTTGACAAAAGGTGAGTCGATTTTTTTTCCTTGCCGTAGATGTAGCAAATGTTCGCGCTTTTGATTCCTTGCCGAGGATGTTTTTGGTACGACTCCTTCAATCTTTAGTACCTTTTAAGTAGTGATTCGTTCGTGGTCTAGGCCAGACTCACCAGTCACCAGCCGTGCAGTCCCCACAAGATCACCCAGCGATTCCTACGGCTAGTTGTATAGACACTCCCAGAGCTTCCTCTCACATTGCCAGACAAGAGGTCCGCGAACGCTCGAGTCAAGGGACAGCAGCGGGGACAGCGTGCGAAAGGACGAAGCCAGACGGGCAGCATAGACTGCCCGAGAGCAAGGGAGCCCGGCTGTGAAGGGAGAAGCAAGGGAACCAGGAGAAGCGAGAGCCGATACAGCCATTGGAGCCCAGCGTTTGAATCGAGACAATTGATCTCGAGCCCTCACAACGAGGGCTCCAGGAACGGTTTCAGATGTGCCCCGACAATCATTGTGTTGCCCTGGGATCCCAGCTGCATTTCGGCTGTTGAATTTGATGTGGTGTTTTGTCTCGTTCGCTGGCACCTTGGATTGGTGGCTTCATGGCTGTTTGGCTTTTTGACTCGTAGCGATCTTTCAGAAAGCACTGCCGAAAGTGGGGAGAGAGACAAATACCTTCGAGGAACGCGGAGATTCGAACACAGAGGCAGCTCAAAGTGCTCTTTTCGTTTGGCTTCGGGGTGCACTGCGTTCATGCCAGCTTCTGTCAAAATCAAACACACACACACACACACACACACATGCGGTGTGTGGTTCTGTCCTTTTTGCTGGTGGTCACGACGGAACTCCCACCCCGGCTTCCTCCCTAACACACCCACATGTTCCTCCGTATTCCTCCGCGAAGTCTGACGTTCGAGTGTCAAGGCCCCCGCGCGAGAAGATGGTACAGGCGACAGAGCGATGGCCAGACTCGAGTCTGACACGGGCTCACAAGAGGCCAAGGCATGTTCAGTCAATCGCCATCATCCACCCCGAAGCTTCCCAAGACGAGGTTAAACTGGGTTGTTTGGAAGAGCCTTGCTTTACCCTTTTAGGAGTTCGTCTTTAGGTTGGTGAGCTGGGATTTTGAACCAGCGATTCCTACGGCTAGTTGTATAGACACTCCCAGAGCTTCCTCTCACATTGCCAGACAAGAGGTCCGCGAACGCTCGAGTCAAGGGACAGCAGCGGGGACAGCGTGCGAAAGGACGAAGCCAGACGGGCAGCATAGACTGCCCGAGAGCAAGGGAGCCCGGCTGTGAAGGGAGAAGCAAGGGAACCATGAGAAGCGAGGGCCGATACAGCCATTGGAGCCCAGCATTTGAATCGAGACAATTGAGCTCGAGCCCTCGCAACGAGGGCTCCAGGAATGGTTTCAGATGTGCCCCGACAATCATTGTGTTGCCCTGGGATCCCAGCTGCATTTTAACTATTAAATTTAATATAATATTTTAAATCACACACACACACATGCGGTGTGTGTTTCTGTCCTTTTTGCTGGTGGTCTCGACGGAACTCCCACCCCGGCTTCCTCCCTAACACACCCACATGTTCCTCCGTATTCCTCCGCGAAGTCTGACGTTCGAGTGTCAAGGCCCCCGCGCGAGAAGATGGTACAGGCGACAGAGCGATGGCCAGACTCGAGTCTGACACGGGCTCACAAGAGGCCAAGGCATGTTCAGTCAATCGCCATCATCCATCCAGAAGCTTCCCAAGATGAAGTTAAACTGGGTTGTGCGGAAGAGCCCTGCTTTACTCTTTTAGGAGTTCGTCTTTAGGTTGGTGCAGTCCCCACAAGATCACCCAGCGATTCCTACGGCTAGTTATATAGACACTCCCAGAGCTTCCTCTCACATTGCCAGACAAGAGGTCCGCGAACGCTCGAGTCAAGGGACAGCAGCGGGGACAGCGTGCGAAAGGACGAAGCCAGACGGGCAGCATAGACTGCCCGAGAGCAAGGGAGCCCGGCTGTGAAGGGAGAAGCAAGGGAACCATGAGAAGCGAGAGCCGATACAGCCATTGGAGCCCAGCATTTGAATCGAGACAATTGAGCTCGAGCCCTCGCAACGAGGGCTCCAGGAATGGTTTCAGATGTGCCCGAGGGCTCTTGCAAGCCCTCGGAGCAAATGAGCACAAATTGAAGGCCAGTTTCCGGGTGGAAAGGAATGGAGCCAGTTGCGTGGCACTTGCCAGGGGGGCGAATTGCCGAATTGCGAGAGAAGGTGCCAAACAACTTCAAAGGGCTTCAAGTCACTGGCCAATTGAGAGACCTCTCTCGCTTTCCAGGAGCTTGGATTTGTGTTCGGGTACCTTCACTACAACTACCTCCGTGCCTTCACCGACAAGATCGTGGAGTTGGCCAACTGGTTCAACTCCGAGCGGGTCCTCATCATGGGGCGCCGCGACGAAAATTTGCCAAAGGGAAGCGCAAGTTAAGTGGTTCCACCCCAAGCATTCCGTGTTTCGAATGGTGTGTGTGTGTGTGTGTGTGTGTGTGTGTCTGTTTTCTTTTTTTGGAAAAGGTCATCCTCCCCATTCCCATTTTGGACCGAAATAAAGTAGGTATAAGGTTCCCACTTAGATTTATCCCGTGTACTTGCCCAGGGAGTTTGGCCTACTTTAACTCTGGTGTAACTTTCCCCACAAATCCCTCTCCCGAAGCCAGCCGGTTTTTGAACAACTGCAATGGCCTTCTATGACTCCGGTGTTCGGTTTCGTTGGGCTATGTTGGGCTTGCTGGCTTGGGGTGACTGTCTAACTTCGTCATTGGAAGGTCATGCCATGAAGTAAACTTATGCTGCCGGTGCCCAGTTCTGACTTCACCTGTGCGATTTAGTCTTGAAGGGACATGTGTATGGCTGGGACAATGTGGTGCTATTTGGTGCTAGTTGGTTGGATCCTAGACCAGAAAGACGTGATTGGTTGAAAATGTTCGCATTGTCCGACTGGCACAAGAAATGATCCCTTTTTAACATCGCCGCCGTGTCTTTGCACTCGTTCTCTTGCAACTCTATGTGTTTGTGATTTCTGGCAGATTTGTGCATGAGCATGCGCTTTTTCCGAAGAGCCGTTTGTCAGACTTAGACGTTGCGAGCAAGCTCGCCGATAGCTGGCCACCCATCTGAATGAAACAGCATACACATAGCTTGAAGTTTTGCTACTTGCACCCTTGGCTTGCCCTTCAAACCCCAAACGAATTGACCCAACAAAACATGGCACCCGCACTTTCCCATTGAGGTACTCCATTGAGGTACTCTGGGTTTTCCTTTTCCCTTCAAGCCCCCCAACAAATCGGCCAACATCCCAATCCACCTAAAGGGAGTACCACCCTCTGAATACCTCCCAACTTCGCCCCCCAAACCCAGGGATCCGGATATGTGGGTTGGAAAAAGAGCACCACCCTATTTAAAAAACAAGACAAGCATAGAAAGAAAAGCAAATTTCGCCCCCCCAACCAAAAACCCGAGGATCCACCATATGTTCGCCGCATCGCCGCTTCGGATCGGGATGAGAGGTACTCCATGGGCGGCTTCGGGGCCATCCAGGCGGGCACCTTCGCCCCGGAGGCCTTCGACGCCGTGGTCTCGGTGGCGGGCTACGGCCTCGGCACCTCCGAGGCCAAGAGCGGCTACGGGGCCCCGCAGCCCCGCAGCGGCGCCTCGATCCATCGAGGCGATCGAGGCGGTTTTCGGGGCGGTTTGGTGTGGCGGGTTAGGCGGTTTTGGGCGGTTTTTGCCGGGGAGTGGGGGGAAGTGGGGGGAGGAGGAGAGGTGGGGAGGTGGGGCGCATGAACACGAAATTGGGGGGGATTTGGAAGGGGAGGAGGAAAGGTTAACACGAAAGTTGTCACTCTTGGAAAATCGGATCAGTGGGTAGTCTGTTCCGAGTCCGGTATGATGGCCTCTTGGGGACTGTGTTGCAACCTGTTTGTTTAGTGGGTTTTGAGGGCTTGAATCTGCAAAATACCCTCGAAGTGGACAATTGTGCAACCAGTGGGCAACCACCTTCCTTTGTGGTATTGCTGTTCATGGCAATTGATTGAGGCCCTGATTGAGCTGCGGAGATTGGGGGCTCTCTGTTGGAAGTTACTATATTGATGAGTTGAGACAGTCAGTGGAATTAATTAACGCAGCCGAGGTGGAGATGGGGGGAGGGTTTTGATTTGGGGGTGTGGAGGATCCCACTGCCCACCCGGTGCACCCACCTACACACGTAGCGGCTTTTCCTCGACCGAGGTTACATCTTCGAGGAGTTCCTTGAGAAGGAGGCGGCCAAGTTGGCCAAGGTGCCGGTGTTCTTGGCGGTGCACGCGCCCAGCGACATGTGCTCATCCTTTCGGGACGCCTTTCGGCCAGAGCGAAAGAAACGGTGGTCTTGGTTTCCTTTGCGCGCACTGTTGAAGAAACGCATCGAAAAATATGGGCGGGCCAGTGGAGAGTGTATCCTGTGCCCTAGGGTGGATAACCTTCATAGACCCTTAGAGTTTTCTCAGACTTCTCAAAATAGGAATGCCTCAAAATGCCCTTACAAATGGGAACTACCGTATCTTCTTCCTTGTTTAAAGAGGGTCGACCTTAACCCCACCTTTTTCCTGGGGGTTGAAACGTCCAGTGTCAGGCAGAGAGGCTTCTTGTCCCCCAAACCCCAGAGAAGATTGGTGAGTATTCGTCGAAATATGGGGGGCCTTTGTGTGTGTGTGTGTGGCTTCAAAGTGAAAAGGGTACCTCCGAGAAACCTGGCCCGAGCCTGGGCGAGTTTTCTCAGGTCAGCGCCATCATCAAGAAGACTCAGGACACAGCCTGGCAAACGTGGGCGCCAAGCACCGCGAAACTGGTGCAAGTGCCTGACTGGATGGCAAACTCCGACCATCCGAACAAGAAGAGGCCCGGACGACCGGACGAGAAGATTCAGGGAATACCTGCGGTTCATCATTTTTGGGGAGGTGCGACCCTAACAACCAACTTCAGAAGGACTTAAGCTTGAGCTCGCCTTCATTTGTGCCTTGGGGATTCCTGAAGCCTTAGGGCGTTGTTTCCCTTTAGCCTAACTCTCTTTTTGGGGGTGGGGGTGACTTTGATATTTGCTCCGTTGAAGTAGCGAGATGCAAAGGACGGCTATTGACACAGTTGGATCCCCTTAAGGGGCACCCCGACATGACATGATGCAGAGGATGTTTTGCCACAAAAGCCCTTCCAGGACGAGCAATCAATGAAAGGAACAACATTCAACAAGAAATTATTCCCCCCTACTATTTGGGCTTGATGTCCTTATAAGATGTTACTTTTGAGGATGGATCAGGAAATATGCACAAAAAGTTAGTTGGTGAATTTTGGACATGGACTTTTTGGTGGACATAGGGAATCAATATTAAGAGCTCGCCATTCCAGTTGAGAGACCCAGGCCAGAGACAGTGTGTGCCTTTCAAAGGCACTGCCAAACGCCTCCAATTAGGTCCTCCTGTTGCGCTTCCTTGCGATGGAGCTCCCAAAAGTGTCATCCTTAGACGAATCTTTTTGGGCGCTGGACCCGCTTTGAGGGCTTGCTACTTGGATGAGCACTGCATGCCCATAGCTCACTGAACGATCTTGGCCCGCATTTCAGGGCTTTTAGTCCTCCCTAAATACGAAGGACACCGGAACCGAATCGGGGTTAGAAATGGACTCAACAAAATTCAGGCAAAGGTCACCATACAGCAGGCTGTCAGGATCTAAATGGTGCCCACCCAACCAAGACCCAAAAAGGGCCAACATGTTGTTTTGGCTTGTTTGGAAGGGAACCCCGTCCCGGTCAAAGAAGAAACATGGTGCCACTGGGTAGTTTCGGGGTCTATGACACACCCTTTTAGGGTTGCTTTCAGGGTAGCCAAAAAAGAAACGCACAACCACCTGTTTTGGAGGGTCCCGTTTCCGGGTCAACGTTTGGTACCACAGCGTTGCCCTTGACTAAAATGATGATGGTGTAAAACAATGTAAATCCAAGGTGTCAACCACCTGCTGGGCTTGTGATGGAGTCGGCCCTGCTGTAGAGCTCCCGGGCCTCCGGCACGTCGTTGGGGTTGTTTTACCGTTGGGGTGTGGGGATTATGGTTGTTTTGAAGGGAAACCAAACGCAGACCTGTTTTGGGGAAACACGGGGAAACAGTTAGGAGAGGCAACCCTACCGCCCCCCAACCCAATCCATCCCCAACCCCAAGCCCATCGGTATCAAGAATGGTTGGAGCCGTAGGTGTCCTTTTGTTGTTTTGCTCGAAAAATCGATGGCGATTCCTGGTTGACCTGGTGGTTTCATCTACCAGGGCCATCTAATTCCCTTAAAAGGACACCTACGGTTGGAAGGTATCAAAAATGCTTGGACCCTTCCCAAAATTGGCCTTCATCTCCTTGATACCTTCCCATAGTCGCCTTGAAATGGTTGGAACTGGTGGGATTTCGACAGGAAGAGCAACCACGCCTACTTCAACTGCACGCTGCTCCACAACGGCAGCGAGCAGATGCTCTGGGCTGAGCTCCGGCGGCTCCTGGAGACAGCGCCACCACGTGTCTCGGAGTCACGGAGGTGGTTCGCCCCCTAGAGGAAAACCAGGTAGCTTCTAGGTTTCATAGGTTTCATGAGAGGGTTACAGAAAAGCCTTCAGGGAGCAGAACCGCAAGGCTATGGAACGCTTTGAGGGTGCCCAAGTGGTGTTTGTTCCCAACTTCGGAGTCCAATGAGGAGTACTTCCAGGGGACTTGGCTAGCTCTTCAGTCGGAGAAGCCATTCTCCTGTTCCCTCAAAGCAACGCACAGCATACCTTGAAGAGACGTTCCTGTAGGTAAGTGCAAACACGCACGACTCGTGGCTCTTGAGGCTCTGAACCCGGATCAAGCTTGAGATGAAAAGCCGAACGGAAGTTTTCGAGCATACCCAGTGGCACCTTTGTGGCTTTCCGCAAAGTGACCAGTTTTTGTTGCTTTTTGCTGGCACCTCAGGTCAGCTTTCCTCGGCGTGGCCGCCGGCTTCGGCCCCGGCTCCGGCCCTTCCGGAGGCGTGGAGCCAGTGGCAGCCCTGGGAGCCCTGGCGCAAGCGACGGCAAGTGGGTCGCTGGACCCAAGAGGTGACGGCGTGGGCGTGAAGCAGCGCCCAACTGCCGGGGTGGCAGGCTTCCATTCGGCTCGGAACTAGCACGAAATATGAGCACTGAAACCCAGCCGCCAGAGACGAACCCTGGCACTGAAAAACAGAGCTTCATGCACAATGGAACCCTGCCACCCAAATCCTGCACCGGCCACCGCACCGACCGCAATTCCGCATCGGATGCGGACGCCACTCAAGAGGCGAGCAAGCGAGCAAAAAGGAGGATTTCACGCGGGGAACAAAGCCACCCGGATCTCCATGCGCAACTTGGCGCTCCAGGTCATGTCGCAGCCTTGCAGAGAATGTACCTGAGCTCTCAAGCTACCCCCAATTTCTGGAAGGAACCCAGCAACATCCGATTTTGAGCTAACTTGGGGGGTGGTGTTCAAGGACCCAAAGGCTCAAATTGGTTTCAGGTCGAAGGATGGGCTCGATGGTTTGTGCCACGCCCCTCAGGTGAAGGCGTCCAAGGCACTGGCCTCAGTCGTGGGAAAAATCCGCAAGGACTGGTTTCAGTGATCCGGTGTTTTCTTTTTCCCCAGATACCTGAAAGCTATAGGGGGTTCTATCTGGTGCTTTCTATCCCTTTTGCGGGTCTTGTTTCGGTTTTCTCTTAGTGCAGAAACTGGCCGCATCCTTTGCCATTTGAGAGATGTTGCTCGCACGTTGCGCGACGCAGGCCAGCCAGGTCGCCGGAAGCCCAGACATGAACTCTGGAGTTTCCGAGGCCTGATGCGTGTTTTCCGCCTATGCGGGTGGTGAGAAACCGGGGTTTTCTGTCACTTGTGACTTGTGATGCAAAGGCATTTGCTCTCCCATTTCTCCCTAGAAGCGATACAAGTCATGCACATGGCCCGTTTCTGAATCACAGAAAAGCATACTTTCCACAACCGTGCCATGTGTTTACGGATGCTTTGCGTTGTTGCGCCTGAGGCGAGCGAATCACCGAAACGCCCTGTGTGGGCACCGTTGTTGAGTGGAAAGGCACGTGCGCCTCTCTGGATGTTCGCATCCGGGTTTGCGTATTAAAAGCTTTGGGGACAAGGGACCGGGTCCCTGAAAAGCGTCGAAACCCTGCAGGGCCCCGGGCCCTTTGATTTCCTCAAACAGGGGCGTCAACAAGCAAACCTGGACCCTCGAAACAGACACATGTGGAAACCATGCTATCCTCCCGACCACCAAAGGGCATGCTGGCAGATCAGCAGCTCAGTCGGATGTCAGGTATGGCTGGCTGGAGTCCGCTTTGCCCATTGACCACCCCATGGCGACCATGCGCGGGGGCAAGGCAGGTGTCTTTTGAATCCCCCCCCAGCGAAAATGGTGTATTGGCTGCCTGTGGACCGTTTCCAATCCGGCTTCTCCGTGTTTTCCTTTGATCCCCTAGGGTCAGAAAGGCAAATTTCTGGCACATGTGAGGCATCTTTTTTGGAAGCCGTGTCGGTGAGGTTTAGTGCTGCGTTAGTTTAAAAAAGGGATACCCTTGCCCATCTTGAACCCCCAATAGTGATGGGAAGCCTTCTATCCAGCTGCGGTTACATGCACTTTTAGCAGCACGTCATTTCCCCTCCATAGCGCCTGACAGAACGTTGAAGAAATAGATCTTCCAGGTACTTCCAGGCGAAATCTGCTGGGTTTTTTTGTTTTTCCCGCGGCAGGGATGGATGACTCCCTGGTAGCTCAGCGGTCAATGAGAAACGTCCCCGTCAGATCTTTGTACACCAAAGAGATTTGCCTGGCGGCGGGGGCCCGAGCTCATGTGATGCAATCCCAAAGGGCACGCCTGTCATTTTGCGAGGGAGCCCCTTTTCACATCAGAAAATAGGTCCCCCAGTGGTGCCCTTTCCCCCTTTTTTGGGGAGGGTTCCCCTACTAAAATAGACTACAGAACAAAGGGTTTCCTTGTTCTAACCTCTCCACTGGAGAACCTAGGAAATGATCAATCTATATCTCATTTGGGAGGAACATTGGGACTCGCAACAATTTCCCACAACAATATCCAACAAGTAATTTTGACCGTGGCTCACGGACAACGCCCATTTTTGGGTTTCCCCATTTGGAGGCCTAAAACTCCTCATGTTGCTGCGACATCGCCACGTCAGCTGGCATGAGGAGGGCTCTAGCTTAAGAGACATTGTGCCTGTCAAACGGGCCTTTTGCTTGTGGGATGGTTAACCTTTAGGCATTGTAGACCAATGTAAAGATTATGAAGGAACACATGGACCTCTTCAACAGTCAGAGGCGTGGTTCCCTTGGTTTCCGACCTGAGCCCAACAAAAGGGTCGCCTCGAAAAAGGCGCAACCCGATTAATCCTCGCTTATAAAAGCAGACGTGTTTCGTTGCGGAGACGGGAACAGGGCTTTTGGAACCTGACTCGGTACCACTTACTTCCTGAGTTCGGGGAACTTGATACCTTCTTGGGCTTGCATCTGTGCAGAACATAAAGTTTGGACGTTCCACGCAGGAAGTAAGAAAAGAGAGATTCCTGAACTCAGCCATAAGTTATATATATATATATATATATATTGGGAGTTGGGGGTCAGAACAATCTTGTGCAGATATGTCATGGGACTAAGTCTGTTTGTTGCGTCTATTTGAGTGTTTCTGATTTTATAAAAGTCGTTGGCCCCAGCAAAACCGTTGGTTTCCGTACTCGCAGGAAGTGAAAAGACATTAGAAAGGATGTTCACCGAAATTTTGGGTCGAGGTGTTGAGAGCCTTCTCGAGGGCCAGCCGCTGAGCAGGGCGCACAGATTCTGGATGAGGGGTTTTGCGGGGATCAAGGTTGGTTCCAAAGCTTTAAGCAACCACACTGAGAAAACAGCCCAAAGTAAGGTGAAGGTTGAAGTGTTCTCTTGGGAAAGTCTGTGCACTCCAATGTTGGAACGCTGGCACTCTGTCCGCAGAGCGGCACGAATAGATCGCCCTGGAAAATGGCTCTTTGCAATTGTGTGCGTGTCGATTTGTTGCATCCGCTCTCACGGGCCAGTCTAGGCATGGCTTGGCAACAAATTGGACTAATGGACAAATACCAGACAACTCACGTGCTAGACACATGGAGCTCAACTGAATTGACCTCAGGCTTTCGGACATATGCCATGCGCCAGACGTGTAAAGCACGCGCTGGGAATCTGCAGAATTAAAGCCTATAGTTCGGAGTTTGAGTTGGTGGGCTTTGCCTGAAGCACATTGGATTCTGTAAATGTGACCTTTGGCCGGACTCGCACGCGCCACTTTTTGAAACGCCGGCTTCCTCTAAAGGGTTGATGGCAGAGGGTTGGTGTGGTCGAATGGTTGCCTTCTACTCGTTTTGGAGTGGTGCTAAAGTGCGACAACTAACCAACGTGAATTGTCGAAATCGGTATGTCGGTTGCTCGTCCCATTTTGCCCTGCCCACGTACCAATTGTCTGAAAGGAACGCCGCGACGTGTTGGTGAAGAGAGACTCGCTTGCACACGGTTTTGGGGGATTTCCAAGGTCGCTTTTCGGGGAGTCTCTACGACTGTTGTCCATGTTGACCTGTGGCGTCCGAACATGCCTGAATCAGGAGACCCGCGTAGGGGTTCCAACAAAAGGAGTTACGACAGAGGACAGTCATGTAGCATCCAATGCCAAGCCCGGGGCTAATGGGCACCATGGGCACCTGTTAGATTGGAACATTGGGAGGCTTCCACGTGTACAGTGATGCCAACGGCCTCGGGGCCGAACAAGTGCGCCCCGAAAATGCAAGATGCTGTGGTATCCCACATAGTTGTGCGCACATTTAGGTTAACGGTCATTCGGAGAATATGGTAAAGCCTGTAGAAACCTGTATAACTATGTTGGTAGGACCAAAAGCCAATGGGTTACTGGCGGGCACGTTTGCCCAAAACTTGGGAAGGACACTAAACATATGCTGGAGGATAATGACATGTTGCGGCCCGACAAACAAACATATGGAACCATGAGCAGTATCTCTTACAACGAGTCACGTAATCAACGCCTGCAGGAGCTTTCTTGCAAGAGCACCTTTACAGGCTAATTTAGAGGGAAACCCACGCAGGAGTAACCACGACATGCCACGCCTGATGGCTGGTCCTGTCCAGTAACTTTCACCCCGGGATTTGCCTTTAGAAGCTCTTTGCTGTCAGTGGTGCGGCTTTGTCCTTCAAGCACACTCCAAACCACAATCCCCATTGGTCAGGTGCCCAAAGACAAACCCCCCAAAATGGCCCCGATGGGTATTATGGGGTGGCCCGATGGTAAGGGCTTGAAAAGACTGGGCTCAACTGGACTCGCGAAAGAGCAAAACTCGGGTGACGATCGTTGCAAAGACCGGGTCCCACAGTGTCGGTGCCCTAAGTGACCCTTTGATTCGTTTGCTAGCTTGCCCGTTTTGGCTTGCTAGGGGTTGGGATCCTGTTGAAATCGAACAGCTACCCGTGTAGAAGTGTGACAACTGCCGAACATGGCGTTTTGAGTGTCAAAGCGTGTCATTTGAGTGTTAGTGCAGGTGCGAATCGAGGTCACTTATCCTTTGAAAGGGTCACTTACGCTAGTGTCGGCCCCCCCCGCGTGAGTGTCACTTGCATGTCGCTGCGGCTCGATTTGCCTAGCATCGGTCCACGCCCATCATGTGAGTGTCATTCGCATTCACAGCGTCGCTGCGGCTCGGCTTGCCCGGATTGGGGAGGGATTTGCTGGGGAGGGCAACCCTGAGGGTCTAAGTGCCCTTTAGATGGCCTAAGTGACCTCTTTGATTTGGAACTAAGTGACCTTATTGTCAAAATGGATCATAGCAGCAAAAGAATGAATCGAGGGCACTAAATACAAAGAAGCTGGCCATGTATTTATATATTACATGACAATATACATATGTACAAATACATATATAGATATATATACATCGGTATATACATATATGTGTTTGCGTGCCAGGTACTGATGGCATAAACACAATTATTAATAATCAAATTTAAATAATTGAACCGAATGATATAGGCATGGTCTTATAAATATAATTTGAAATATACAACCATATATAGATATATAAATCTAATTGAATTAT